AATTAGGGAAAAAAATAATTTTTTTTTTAACCCTACGTATACTAAAAAAAAATATTTTTTTTGTGCCCCATTCTTTGGTGGGCCCTGGGCATGGGCCCAGCTCGCCCTGGGCCAGGGCCGCCTCTGACTGCAGATAAAAAAAAATAGCAAAATCCGATCCAATTTGTTGCAATTGATTAGTTAACGTGTTTGTTGACCGTATTCCAAAACATGGATGGGAAAAGGCATTCGCTTATCAAATTATCTATCGAGCGATGAGAAAAATGAACAAAAGACAGAAACAATACGTGGAGTAACTCTCGATATAGCAGTAAAAGCAAGACGTATAGGTGGATCGACTCATTAAGTTTCCATTGGAATATAATCCACACAAAGAAAAGTACTTGACATTCGTTGATTATTAGCTGCATCCCAAAAACGCCCAAGTCGAAATTTCACTCTAACTAACGAAATAAATCGGAATATTTTATCAATTTTTATACATTGATGGATCATGTGCGCAATGATTTGGATTAGCATTGGAGATAAAATTGAATTAACAATATAATTAAAGGGAGAAAAGGTTTGCTCTAATGCATGCAACACGTATTAAATTTTCTAACCTTTATTATTATTATTATTATTATTATTATTATTATTATTATTATTATTATTATTATTATTATTATTATTATTATTATTATTATTATTATTATTATTATTATTATTATTATTATTATTATTATTATTATTTAAATGCGAAATAATCTAATCAACTCACTCACTTAAGATCAAGTTGTAGTTTTACTTTAGCATACGGCTCTAATCAATAAAATTTAATTGTATATTTGGTTTAATTTACGTATAGGGAATTAATTAACCCTTAATTTGACTGCTTTGTGACTAGGAATTGCATTTTATTTAAATATATAAATAAATAAATAAATAATTTTATTTTCGAAATCCACCATAGAACCACCACACCCACCATTTTCAAATCTTTCGTCATTTGTACTGTACCAAACAGCCCCTTAAACAGCTTCCCCCATAAAATACTAATAAATTGATTTTCTTGTTCTAGAAGTCAAATATAATAATCCGTTTTATTGTTTATAATATAAAGTCAAATTGTAGTCAATTCATGAATAATTTTGTAACTGTTTTTAGGATATTGTTTAAATAACCTCTTGGCATTTTTTATTTAGTTTTTAAGATAAATTTCTTGAAATAAATTGTAGTGGTTGTTTAATTGACTATAAAAATCGATTATTTCGAATGCATATTGTTTATGTAAGGAACTATTGAAAGATCTTCTCAGTTAAGGTTTAAGTACGAAAAGAGTTTCATTGTTTGCATAATTACGATCATCATCCTGAGGTATTATCCATCTAATGAATTTATCATCCCAAAGTTAACAATAACATAATCAAATCGATTCATGGAATATCCATTTTGTAATGACCAAAATATCCTTAGGAGTCTAATTATAATGTTTGTAAAATAACTCTAATTTATTTTTATAAATTATTTTTAAACACTTTTCTTTTTATTTGTTAAATGTTAACTAACCTTTATTGTGTCATAAGGAGTTAGTTATGTATAAGGTTTTACATATTGCATGAGAGCCAAATGTAAGAAAATTAGAAATTGAATATAAGAGTGTTTGTTTGTCATTCATTTAATTTTTTTAACACATGGATATTTCAGACAATTATTACGTTCTGTTAGGGTTCCTCGCAGCCAGTCACGTTAGTTTCAAGTGGATAGTCGTAATTAAGCAAACAATGAGCATTTTTTCGTAATTAATCCTTACCTCAGGGAGTTTCTTGTAATTTTCCCACATTTTTTATTAGACGCCCACATTTTCCTCAAAATGAAAAGTAAAAAGGCTTCTATCACGACCTAATTGCATGATCTACGCATATGAACTATTGAACAAACTATTCCAAAATATGAAAAATATAATTTATTAAAAGTAAGAAAATAATTCAAACTTTTGGAGAGATATTCTTTTTTAATGAAAACAATAGGAGTACATATGAGATTTTATTTTTCATCGCGATTTTAAGGCTTAATCTCATTTTGCACCCTTAAAATATACCATTTTGGCACTTTGCACTCTCGAAACAAATTAATAGCACTTTGCATCCTCGAAACACAATATATCATGCATAATGCATCCCATATGAGTTTTTAAAGATAATAAAGGTAATTTAATATTTTTAGTGGTATTTAAAAATTATATTTTTTATCACAAAAAAATATTTTACGAAAAAAGAAATCCCTCAGCTATTCCATTATCAAGTTATCTGAAAATCATATTTTCTTCCAAATATTTGTACCTAATATTTCAACCAATTACAATTAAAGATCTATCGAATAATTTTGTAAGAAAATATATATTCTTTCAATTGTCCGGTGTGATTTTTATTTTTTCGCACTTAGTGCGCTCGAAATTAGGTTGGAGGTTGAAGAAAATAACAATTTAATTGTTATTTTGAACCCGAAAAAATAACAATAAAAAATGAATTATCCTTTATTATTCAATTAAGGGTGCATTGTGAATGATTTATTGTGTTTTGAGGGTGCAAATTGCAATTATTATTTTTCAAGGGTGCAAAGTGTCAAAAGAGTCCGTTTTAAGGGTGCAAAGTGGAACTAAGCCCGATTTTAATTTTGAAAACTTGTTCCGAAATCAAAACTTTCTCAAAAGTTACACTTACGTGATTTTTCTCGAAAGTTGCACTAAAAAAAATCGTTTTTCCTAAAGTGTTAAGTCAGATCTAATCCGTTCCGTTCATCTTCCACCTCTCGGTAGGATGTAAATTTTAGATTGTACTAGTGAAGGATGATGGGGTGTCCAATAATATAGTTAAATAAAATTAGTGATTAGCTTAAAATAAAATAAAGTAACCATTTAACTCACGTTTAAGTGCTTTAATCCCCAAAAATATATAGTGGGACTAATTATTGAGATTTTTTTTCTTTTTTTAATTGTTATTTTTAAGGAAGGATTGTTACTGATTGGTAATTTCCATCGAGTGACTCGAGCGGATGATCGAATAGGTCAATTATTGAGATTTCTAATTAGGCCAGCGTGAGTATATATAGCTGAATTGATTCCGTAAGTTGGTGCACTGTCGTATGATTGAGTACTGACAGCCGCCGCAGTATGGAAATTTCAACTCCAACGAGAGTTGGTTACTTGTGGACATCAGACCTATGTCCGATATCCACAACAGTTGAATCTACATTCCTCCATAAAAACTTATCGGATTAAAGAATGGGGAGTTTGGGACGAGAGATTTTGTATTTTTTAGTGCAAGATTTCTTAGTTAGGAATATTCCAATATTCCCATTGTAGACTACTTTTAGAATAAAAGAATGATTCCATTTTTTTGATATTGCAGTGGGATCTGTTGCACTGACACGATGGTCTGAAATCTCACAAATCACAAAATATAGAATAGACAAATATTTGTTAATAAAAATATTTATTCTCAATAAAAAATATAAAGAAAATGTTAATTTATATGTATTAATATATTGTAGATTTAATTGAAAAATATATAGATGTATTTATATATTTCAGTCACTTGCAGTTTTAAAGCCTTCCACAATTTCTTTTTTTTTCTCCTAAATTATATTTCTACAAATGGGAAATTAAATACCTACAATATCTAGGAAATTATCTTTAATTATTGAACCTCAAAACAATAGCTCTAACTATAAATGAAATGTAGTAATAATGATTAATTTTCAACAACAAATATTGAACCTAAATAATGAATTGAACTTGGCACCATATGTGACAGTTTATATTGTTAATGTTACAATATACACTGTAGAACTTCGATAAATTAATAATTTCACTTAATTAATAGTTTCTCTCGGTCCATGCTCAGTGACAATGTGATAAATTATAAACTTGGGAGTTTAATAATTCATTAAATTAATTAAAAAAAATTAGTTACCACTGTATTAACTTATAGAAGATTAATTGTAGTTAGCTAGTATAAAAATTGGACAGTCATTGATTAAAGATATTTGTATATCCGAAATAATGTATGATGCGGTTTACCAAAAATCCGTAATTACTTCAACTCGTTTAAATAATTCGATTGTTAGTAGTTATGCACAATAATTAATTTGTGATCAAAACAAATAGATAAATGTGTGTGTATATCTATATTATTCTTATAGTAAAAAAATGATGTTTTTATAGCAATATACTTTTATAGACACTAATACATGAATTGTACATAATTCCGTGCACCTATGCTTTAATTGGTTGAGTAAGAGAACGCGTACTAATTTAATTTGAGACCAATTTTTTTTATCAACATTTCAAAGTTAAGTTCGTCACGTATTATGTTTTTAGGTGATTTTTTTTACTTAATTCACCTATACGATCAATTGGAAAACAAAATAGTAAAAAAATGTTGATTTTAATCAGAAGTAAATTTAATAAAAATATACATGGGGTGAATTACAACCATCCCTGAACTATGATTAAATTACGAAAAACTCCTCATGTTTGGATAATTAAAACCACCCATCAATTATAAATCGTCTTACACGTCCACCTTTGCAGTGTCAAATTTAGTTGAATCTTCTAGATTATATGGAATATTCTCAAGTTTGTACCCGTTTTCCCCATTTGAGCTCCGCATTTCGAAAAACAAGATGATCATAAGCTTGTGGTGCATCAGAAACTGCATTTTTGCACAAAACGAGTATAAACAGGAGAAAATTCTACAGAATGTTGAAGATTGTGCTCATCATAAGGATGGACATGTAAGAAGATTCATAGTTGAAGGAGTGACTTGTAATTATCCAAATATGATGGGGTTTTTTGTAATTTAACCTTACCTGTAATTTACCCCATGTATATACGGTAATACTTGTAGTAATTTATTTCAAAAAATAAATAAATAAAAACAATTGCAGTAATTAACTAATTATTATCTTATTTTACGCATGTACTAACACACCTCCCTATTTATACAAACCATCTAATACAAAACTCTCACGCCTTCTCTAAAACTCCATTTAATAATTTCTCTTTCCTCCCCCATATCCATAACCGCCACCCTCCGGCCGCCGCCCCTTCCCCGCCACGGCGGCAGCATGGTGAAGTTCTCGAAGGAGCTGGAAGCTCAGCTCATCCCGGAATGGAAAGACGCATTTGTGAATTACTGGTTACTTAAAAAACACGTAAAAAAGGTTAAGATTTCAAGAAAACCAACTAAGCACGTTCTTCTTGCACACGAAAACAACTACGATTTCGGGCGGTCCATTTTCGACCCGATTCGAGCTCTTGTGGGCAGGATATCCCACGGGTTAGGCCCTCGAGTATCTATGGACATACCGTAATGCAGACTGCCGTCTGAAATAAACACTTGAGGCCCTCCTCTTTTTTTTTTTTTTTTTTTTTTTTTTTTTTCTTTTT